GAGCTGACAGGAACCTCATGAAGTTAAGCAAAGGCAAACACAATGTACTCCCCTGGGAGGGAGCAGCCCATGCAGCAGACCAGGTTGACTTGACTGCCAGTGGAGCAAGGCTGCAGAAAAAGCACTGAGGGTGCTGAGAGACAAGCTGCTGGCCAGAAATCAGCAGGGTGCCCCTGCGCCAATGCACCAGGGCTGGCTTAGCAATAGTGCAGCCAGTGGGGCAAGGGGAGGGCTACTGCCCTCCATTTGGCTCTGGTGAGACCACAGCTGGACACTGACACTGTTTGGGCTCCCCAGTGCAGGACAGACAGTAACAGACTGGTATGAGTTCAGCAGAAGCCCCTGAGACCTGGGAAGGTCCTTGTACTCCAGAACGGCACTGGAAATGCCTAGCCCCGATACACTCCATATGCTCAGGAGGAAGAAAGAAGAGATGGGTTCCTCTGGGCATCCTGACAAGGGTGTGCTTGCACAACAGATGGGGAACACTTGGGCACATATTTTCCTCTGCCCTGCTCTTGGGGAAGATGTTCTGGTGCATTGATGCTCAACATGTCCTGGCACATGGGACTCAGTGTTTTGGAAGATAAGCCTGGGGATGGGGCTTGCCAGGAGCTCCTTTGTGCTTCTAAGCTTCAATAGGAGCCATCACCTAACGGGTGCAAGGGGACAGTTGCTCTTTCCATGTCCTGAATATCCTTGCTAAAGCCATGACAAAGCTGGGACCTCGTGCCCCTTCTGAGATGTTCAGAAACCAATAGCATGGTCTTCTGTAATCCTGGAAGAGCCATAGATCCAGAGACGGCTGTCCCTGGGGGAACTCTGCAAGCGCTGGGCAGTGAACATCCTGCCTCTTACTGGTGCTCATCTGCCTATTGACATGGCTCTCAATGCTCAGAGGAAGGCTGCTTCCACTGCTCTGCTCTTACCCCACAAGGAGGTGCCAGAGCTGAAGGTGGTCCCTGTCCTGAGCTATGCTCTCCATGGCTGCCTTCCCTGAGCTGGCAAGTCGAGGCCACTGCATATTGTGGTTGGGCTCTATGGAGACAGCAGCCTCTGCAGGGAGATCACTTCCTGCCTTACTTTTGCATTTAAGGAAGATTTGAAAATGCCATGTTTTCTGCTTGGCCCTGGCTACCAACAGTACTGTCACCCAGCCCTGTCAGGGATCAGCCCATCCTGGGCTATTCCATCCCTGGAAATGCTTCTTTGAGAGCCCTTGGTTGGCAGATTCCGGCTCAGGGCAGCCTGGAATTTGATGTTTATAATTATAATTTAGGAGGATGAGGCATCTGGTACCCTCCATTCCAGCTAGTTGTGGGTACTCAGGGGGCCTGCTGAGAGCAGCTCTTCTGGCTCCGTCAGCACATGCCCCTGAGACTCTGGTAGGGTTTGCTGAGCCAATGCTGAGAGGTTTTGGGTCTCATGGAGTTCTACAGCACTGCAAGAGTCACAGAACAGCCTTCTGCTGCATCCCAGACACCTCTGGCTTTTTACCCGGGCCAGAGTTTTTGCTGGGAGAGGAGAGCAGTCAGTGTACCTGCACTATGCTCACCCACATTGCTCCAGAGAGGCCAACCTGTCTCTGCCTCTCCTCCTTGCTTTAGGCCAGTGGTTGTGCCACAGTGGCACTCACTAAGGGGCACTTTGGCATGACACCCAGTGCCTTTCTGCTCACAAGCAGCCACATCTGCAGTGCCCTGTCATTGACACTGGAGCCCTTCAGCTGCCCAATGCAATGTTAAGGGCTTGGGGCAACCCCTTCATCCAGCGTCCTGCACAGGGACAGAGCTGTTCCCTTCATGCTTCCCAACCATCTTCGGGCACTGAGGCAGAAATGTGCACCCATAAACTGCCCTAGAGGGGTGCAGGGCAAGAATAATTCAGGAGCCTCAAAGCTTGAAGGCTGGAGCCAAGGAGAGAAGACACTATTCTCAGCAAGGAGGAGGTGGCTGCACACACCCTGCTTGCCTATGAGAAATGACAGCTTTATCCCATGTGGGAGAAGAAAGGCTGAAGGGGACACTCAGAAGCAAAGCATTCTCCTCCCAGGTGTATTTACGGCCTTGCTTGTGGCTGGGCCTGGCTGAGTGAGCCAGCGGGGGGCCTGGTAGCTTGGGCGCAGGTTTTAACGGGCCTGCGTGGGCTGCTGGCTCTGTCGCTTTCATTTCACTTCTCTTACTCGCTCGGTAAATCTTGCCTGACGGGGCAGGAAGAGGCACTGAGCACTGGAAGGGGGAGGAGGTGCTGAGGCAGCGGCACTGCCGGTTGGTAACCTCAGCACTTCCTCCAAGCAGGGTGCCTTTTGCTCCAAGTAGGGGCTGTGCTGAAGGATGCTGCCCTGATATCTCTGTGCCCTTTCCTGGGTGGTCACCGTGGTCCCAGCAATGGCTGTGTCTCCTGGAGGGATCCCTGCTGAGCTGCAAGGTAAGCATCATCCACCTCAATGCTTCTTGGGTGTCACATGGAACCTGCTGATCTGGGGCCTGCTCGGCTGCCCTCATGGCGGTACTGAGGGTGGTGGGTCTGCTCTTGGGTTCCTCATCAACCCCAGCCCAAGCGGATCTGAGCAGGGCCAAGAACACAGGGTCTGCTCTTGGCTGCAACACCTGCTCACTTGAGGATGCTGCTTAGACTGAAAGCGTCCCCTAAGAACAGTCTGGCTCCTCGGGGATGTGGTTTTCTGAGGCTTCCGCTGACCAGAAGGGTTTGCAGGTGCAGCATGATGCAATGGACAGCTGCGGGCTTGGGATCCCCACGCCAGCCGAGGGATCTCCAACACTTCCCAGGGGCAGCCTGACTGGCACCATGCTTGGCAGGGAGGCATGGCCTGCAGCCCTGCCATGGCTCTCAGGTAGCAGAGGGATGTGTGAAATTCCGTGGCTAGCTACTGCTGAGGCTTCAGGGAAGGTTCCCAGACTTCCAAGATCTCACTGAAAAACTAAATGACTGCAGGAGAACTAGGGGCCCTAGCTTCACCAGCCCCATTGTTGCTTGCAGTAGGGTGGGAAGGCTTACACTGTTGTCACAGACCCGATTCCCAGCTCTACCAAGTTGCATCTCCAGGGACACGGTGGCTTAGGCCACAGGACCTACATGCTCTGCTCTTGACTAAGGCAGCAGAGCCTCCAGGGGCATAAACCTGCATAGAAAATCCTCCCATATTGGACAGATGTGCAGAGAACAGGCTGGATAAAACCATTTGTGGTCTCAGGATGCAGAAAGCCAGATGAGAGTTTTGACAAGAAAACTCCTAGCACAAGAGGGATATGAGCTAACAAGTCCTCGCGGCCAGGAGAGGAGCTAACAGGGCTACCTGCCGCTTCAGCGATGGCCAGAGTGAGCAGTGTCATTGTGAAAATGACACTTAGTCTTCTTTGCAAGGAGACAGACAGTTGCAGTTCTAGTCACAACAGCTTGTTCTGAGCAAAAGGTCTGAATCATGAGAAAAAGAAGGGCAGCTAAGCAGAGAGGTGAAGCAAAGCTTGAGATGAGAGAAAGCAAACAGGAGTGGAGCTTGGGCTTGCCTACAACAACCATGGAAGTGACAGGATTGCAAACATGGGGAAGCTGGCACACATGACAAACAGTGCACATCATGGCCAAGACAATTTCCAAAAAAATGCAAAGGCATAATACATCCCTGGATGCATCATGGAGAGGTCAGGACTCAGCTGCGGCACTGAGGAGCTTGTGGTGGGAGAGCACATGTAGAACTCCCCACCAGCCCTGTGGCTAAGTGCAGGAAGGAAGGAAGAGAAACAGGGACTCAGCTGGAGCACAGTACCAGATCCCGATGAGCAAGGCTGTGCCAAAGCATGCGCAGTGTAATCCTAGCATGAGTAGGCAAATCCACATTATGTTGAAGTCAAATGCCAGGTATCCTAATAAAACCCTAAGTTGTGCTCCAGGAAAAGCCCTGAAGGATCCCACGTAAGGAGGCCAAGCAGCATGTCTGTGGAGGACAAACTGGTGGTGCTGAACGACTGTGCTTGGTCTCAGGTGTAGCCAAGGCTGAACATGCCAATGAGCTCCACGTATCACTGAGCTCTGCATGCCACCTGAGCAGCAAACCAGATTCAGACCAGGTTTGTGAGGAAGTGCATAGCTTGGATGAGAAGCTGTTAAGCGCCGACAGCTCAATCTGATGCAGCCTCCAGCTTTGCTGCACAATCACAGAGAGCAGGTGGTGTCATCAGTGTCTACCTTCAGATGTGGGTAGAGAAGGATTAATTCCTGGAGGTGAATGGGATGTGTGGCTAAATTGGTTCATGTCTGTTTGGGAGAGTGCAATACCAAAATCAACTACTTCCTTTCTGCAAGACCACAAAGTAAAGAGGGTCTCCATAAAGAGGGGCAAATGGTCAGTTTGGAATTCATTGCAAAGGACCTGTGCCTGGAGACAGGAGTGTTCCACTGGCCTTGCACATGGGATGCCACTGTGAGCACAGGATGGAGCTGGGGGGGAGTCAGAGCATGTAGCTTGTACCATGTGGAAGCGCCTGGCACTGGCACATCATGGGGGAAATCCATTCTTGGCTCAGATGTGATGAGGACCATGTGTATGACTCCAAATAGAGAAAGGCTGGCAGAGTGCTTTCTGCCTTCAATCTGAGACAACTTGATGTCCGATCACTGCTGCCTGGGGATGCCCACTCTTGGCAAGCAGGAGGTTTGTGTTGTGCAATAGGACTGCTGAGACCGCCACTGTGATGTAGGGGAGTTGGAACCATGCTCAGACCTTCTCCCCAGAGAGACATGCATGCCCAGATCCCATCCCCCTCCCCTGACCCCTAAGCGCTCCCTTTTGGTGTGGGAGTGGGGAACTCAGTCTGTGCTTGAGGCCACAGGGGGATCATCTTTGGGCATGCTGTGCCATGCACCTTCCTGGGCAGGAGGTCACAGGCACATGGTAAAGGAACAAGTCCAACCCCTAGCTTCAGCCAGATGATTTACACTGGACATCGATCTTTTCAGAGGGTATCGCTGCCTTCCTGGGGATGAAGGAGATCCTCCTGGTCAAGAGAGTCCAGCTGCAGGTGAAATCCAAGTACGACAATTACATCTTGGTACGTGCAGGGTCTGGCACTCCGTCCCTTTGCTGTTAGCCTGAGCCTGACGGGGTCCCAAACCCACAGTGTGCAGAGGGAGCAGTGCCCACCCGGGTGGTGGGGGGGGGGGGTTAAACCCCACAGATAGGGCAAATGGCATCACCAGAGGCATGAAAGACCTTCAGGGCTGTCTGGGTCTTCCCTGTCTGCACAGGGCTTGCAGAGCAGCATACAGGGCCAGGCATATACCTACCTCTCCTCCCAGCATAGGGATGCTGTGCTCAGCCAGTGAGCCATCAGTCACACAACTGGAGGCCTTGCAGGGCAAGAACAGGATGGACCCTGCTGCAGGTTACAGACTGCATTATCTGAATTATCAACTAAGTTTTCCTGGCTCATGCTTTCCTCAGTTTCTCCAGGCAGCAGCTTAATGGCTTCAGTGGGGGGAGGGGGGGGCAGACTACCTCCTGGCGAGCCTACATGCTGCTGGTGATGCTGCCAGTGAGGGTAAGTGCTGGGGGTTCCTCTGCTCTATGGCAGACCACTGCTGCCCCCAAGAGGACCTCCCTCACTGCCTTGGGGTGCCAGCACCAGCACAGGGCCAGGTGTCCTGTACGGTGGCCATAGGTAGCCTGGATCAGGGGGTCTGGAGAGCCCCGGGAGCAGGATTAGTCTGTGGGACTTGCTCCCAGGATGCAGCAGCATCAGGGGCTGCATGTGGCAAATGGGATAGGGTGGAACGGGCAGGAAAATGGGAGAGGGGGCTCGGATTGGGGCACTGACAGGCTGAAGCTGAGGACTCTGGCCAAGCGCCTGGGAAGCTGTGGCCGGGCACTGGCCTGGGTCATGGGGCAGAGCTTAGAGTCCGGCGCTTGGAGTCCAGCTTTGAAGCATCTCCATCAGCACCACAGCTGATCCAGGTCTTCTCTCCCACCAGGTGCACGGCAGTTTCAGCTTTCTGGAGGTGCGGGAGATCACAGTGCAAGAGCCCAGCCTGGTGAGTGGCACTCATTGGGAAAGCCTCCCTGGGCAATCCCCACGTGGGGCATGTCAGCACCTGGATTGCCAAGGCATGTTCCGCCCATCTCTCCCCATTGGAAACCCCAGCCTGGAGCCCCCCTGCAGGGTCTGAGGGGAGTCATTGCCCACTGTTTTACATTGTGGGTCACCATTGCTGAGCTTTGGGAGCTTCCTAGCATATTTATCCTTTTGCCACCTCTAAATAAATCCTCTTACGGCTTCACCTATGGTATCACCCTCCTGAGTCAGAAGTAAGGGGAGGCACTCAGGGGTGCTGAGGTGGGGGGATATTGGTGTCTGCACTCACTCTCCTCCAGCAGACCGGGGTGTGTACCCTGCAAAACCACTACTGAGAGCTGGAGGCAGCTTCCTTGGCATTTGGGTGACACCTCCTGCTCAGCAGGGGCAAGGTGATAAACTGCAACTGGCTTACCCAGGCAAAGCCAAATATAGCAGGAAGGTGTTCTAAACCCTATTAATCCTCTTAGCAGCAAGGTGTGCATGCATGGTAGACGTAGCAGTAGCAAACCATGAAGGAGAAGAATAGGGTGTCCCAAATCGGACATGTCAGCTGAAGCCAAGGCTGCAGTCCCGGTTAACCTCTTGTCTTGCTTTTGCTCATTAAAGCACCATCATCAATGATAGCCCTGACTTGTAAATAGGGCTTCTGCTGCTTGACATTAGAGAGAAAAACCTCTTAGGAGTAGTCTGCGTATTTGAGCTGCACTTTACTTTGAGAGCTCAAGCAGGAGTGCAGAGTTAAAGAGGAGCTAGGCAAGAGCAGAAGAGGAAGACATGAGCCCTCAGACAGCATAGCATCGGGAGCTAGAAATGCCTGGTATGGCCTGGAAACTTGCACACAGGCTATGGGGTATAGGGAGGAAAACTGAGGGGTGATCCAGGGTCTCACATATCCTGGGAGGGAGTGTCAGGAGGAGAGGTGCATCCTGAGCAAGTGTGCTGTGAAGGTGCAAGCAGGGCTGAGTGATGTCATGGACAGGACAGTGTCACCTGGGCACTTACAAGAAGCTGGAAAATCAGCTAACTTCAGACCATTGGCTTGTCTTTGAGATCATCTGACTGGTCACAGAGCCCTGAGGATATAAGACAACTCTAGTGGTTATTCACCTGCCAGTCTGAGCACTTGGCTAGAGTAGGCAGAGACTGGCCCCACTGTCACATAGGGAGCCCTGGCTCGGAAAAGAAGCTCCATCCTTTATGCTGCCCAAGCAGATAATTGTCATCCTCCTCCTACCTCTCAATCAGTGTGTAATTGAATTAGGGAATGTGTTGCCATGGGATTTGGTAGGAGCCAAAAGTTAAAAAAGCATCAAAAACCAATGAGACAAATTCAGGGATGAAACCTCCATCAAAGGCTCTTTAACACAGCAAGCTGGCTGTGGCTTACCTGGGGATGGGCAGATGCAGTGAGTCAGCTGCTCCTGTACTGTCGTACCTGTCCACCATCTGTACTGTTCCTGTCCACCACTTGTGCCCTAGAGATGGGACCCCAGGCATTTCTGCTCTGGAAACCCTGACATCTCCTCTGTTGCATCCAGGTTTTCCAGTTTTGCGGGAGTTCGCTGCAGGGGTGCAGGCAGAGAGGTTTGCTCTGCCAGGACAGCAAGGGGCAGAGCTGGTCTGGAGGCAGCTCTGAGGGTGGAAGGAGGTTTTGTTGTGGATGAGTGAGTTCAGGCACTGAAATCAATGCCAAACGGGGTCTATCATCTTGGTCCTCTCAATCCCTAAAGCTCTTGGCAAGAAAAGGGCAGACCACTAGTGATGTTACTGTGTCTCTGAAAGCAAATCACTGTGAGACCATGAGCTTTAAACTGGTGTCATCCTACAGTTATGGCTGGGGCTGCTGCAGGCAGAGGTTATTCTCACCCTGACGGATTGGGGCTGCTTTTGCATTACCTTATCTTTAATTCTGCGGGGGCAGGGGGAGGGGAGGAGGATGCTAATGCCTTATTCTGGCACATGACAATGTCTTTACTATGTTTCATCCTGAATTCCTGTTGCTCTCAGCCTCACCTCCTCTTACAGCACTCTGGCTAGAATTATAACTGCAGAAGTTGGATGCTTGCAGTAAGAGTGCAGCCCTTGCAGTGTTTGGCCAGTTGCTGTCAGTGTCATGTATGCAGGTTTGCTGTATGTTGCCAGTTTTCTCAGATATCTCCCATCCTTTGGCCTCTGCAGGTTGTCATAGAAACAGATACATCTTCTTATGCCTTCCGGCTTAAGTCATTTGATGATTTGGAGCAAGTTGTCATCCATGTCACCATGTCACTTAAGAAGGTCTTTCCAGACTCATCCCCAGGGTAAGGGTCCCCTAGTCCTCGGGGATTGTCATGTAAGAACTGGAGGGATCATGTCACCTTGGAGGAAACATCCTTTGCTCAGATAGAGCCAAAAAACAGGCTGGGTGTCCAGTAAGGCCTTTTACTAGGAAGAAACCATGCTGATGGAGGCCAAATGTTCCTTGTTCCCTGATCACATCAGGAGGAATATTTCTGGTCACTCTCTGGGCCTGGCATATGGGTCATAGCTAGGTGTATATTGGGATGGGGATTGTTTTCTTCCACCCTACTCCCTGGTCCTTTCCCCAGAACATTGCTCAAGAACTCCCCCCCTAACCTGTACGAGAGGATTCGGAGGATCATAGACTCCCTGGAGGAAATGTTGCAGAGCAACCAAGGGCCCTGCGGTAAGTGCCGTTCTCCCCGCATGCATACCAGACAGGGGCAGGAGTGTTGGAGCACCTCAGAGATCTGTTACAGCCCAATACCCACCAATGCTAGCCACACAGTCATCGCCAGTGGCCCCCCTTTGTCTGGCGGTGCGGCAGCTCCTGCACCAGCTTATGTCTGTAGGAGCCCTGCTAGCAGGGTACGCTCTCCATCAGGGTGTCCCATCTCACAAAGCAGAATGAGGAGCCCATTTGGCAGGCTGGAGGGGTTACAGCTTCCCAGAAAGGAGCATGACAGCTGTATGGCAAGGATGCACAATCACAGATGCATCTACCCTTGAGAGTGTGCAGCCATAGATGCTTCTGCATACCGAATGTGGTGTTGCTGCAGCACCAAGCACTACAGCACCAAGCCTGGATTCTAGCTGTTTGGAGTAGGAACATTCAAAGCTCCAGAGGTTTTAGTAGGAGAAAGGTTAGGCTAACATAAGCTGGATAGAGGGATGGTTACTAAAAAAACTTCTGCATGACCACAACACTGTCATTCCTCTGCTTTCACCATAGCAACACAACCTGCCTGGCATCTTATGTCTGAATTAGGGGCGTTGTTATAACATAGAAATTGGATCCCAGGTAGGTCCCTGGGGTTGTGGCACAGGTTTGGAGCTGAGCTGCCCATGGGCACAGTGGAAAAGCAGAATGTGCCCCAGCACCACAAATTAGGAAGAATGCAGGGACCCATAATAAGGAGGCCACAGTGATGTGCTGGGGAGGGCTGGCATTGGAGCTGTGATGTTTGCAGATGCAATACATTGGGGCCAGGCATAGAGCAGGCATATGGGAAAAGCAGCGCATGGTCCAGCAGTAAGAGCCATGTCCAGGCAGGCTGGCGTGGCCTGGCAATGGTTTCCAGGGCGGGCCAAGCTCCACCTCCGCCATCTAGGAGCTTAGCTTTACAATCCATGGCCATAACCACTGTGTTTGTATGGAAACAAAACCTCTCAATAAAAGCGTATAGAGAGAAAACAGGCAATATGGCGCTAGGATTTCCTGCATGGATCAGGTGAAGGGAGCAGAACTGTGTTAGCCCCCTGAATTGTGTAGTCCCTTTTGGGATGGCAGTAGACCAAGCAGGACACTGCAGCCCCTTTGAGGAGGGCAGGGAGAGCTCCTGCCTTCCCTTTTCTGCTTTCTGACCACCCCAAAGGTCTCCTCTGCGTCCCCTTGGGGAGGTCTGCTCACAGTGCCATCAATACTGCCTTCTCTTTGCAGGTGGGTTTTCAGAGACATATGCTGCTTTATGTGATTACAATGGCTTTACCTTCCGCGAGGAGATCCAGTGGGTAAGCTGGCCCACCCTGCAGAAAGGAGACAATCACAGCAGGTTGTTGGGAGGGCAGGGCAGCAGAATGCTGCCTGCACTCCGCACTCCAGCCGCACAGCCATCCCAGGAAGAAGAGGTGTCCTAGGTGCTGGGAGTATCTTGGGGGCCAGAGACATCCCAGGGCTGGGAAGCATCCTGGGGCTGGGAACTAAAGTTTTACACTGCTGGAGTGCTCCCTTCTCTTTAATGGGGTGGAATGAAGTGCAGAGGGGGATGAGATGCCTTGAACCAGGAAGTTTCACAGGCTGATGTAGAAGAAGAGCCCCTGGAAATCCATGGTCTTGCTGGGTGTGTCCAGTGGAGACGAGCTGATGACAGCACATCTGGCCATGCTAGGACACAGCCACAGCAGGATGGAATGACCCCCTCCTCCTGTGGGACACCAGCTGACTCAAACTCACATCTTTCCAGGCCCTCGTCCCCACCACAGAGCAGGTTCATTGGCTTCTCCTGGCCAATCCCTGTGAAAGGGGTCAGGGAGCCACCGCACCGTGGGGAAGAGTCGCACCAGTCTGGGACATGTGCTCTTGCTGCCTCTGGCCCTAGGGAGGTTTTGGGCTATGGATTTAGGCTTGAGGCTCCCAGCATATGGCTAGGCTCTTGGAGGCTGTGGGAAATGGGTTCCCAGGTGATGGTCCCCAAGAAATCAGCCTCTGGGCAAAACATAGATCCCATTGATGGCACAGCTTGCCAGGCATGCCAGCAGGTGCCGAAGCCCTTCCCTGGACCTGGCACTGAGCCCTGCCTGAGTGTCTTATCTGTCTGGCAGGATGTGGACAACATCTACCACAGCCAAGACTGCCGGGAGTTCAACCTCCTGGATTTCAGCCACCTGGAGAGCCGGTGAGTCATTCAGCCTCACCATGTGTGTCATGAAGGCAGGAGCCTGCCACTCCTCAAGCACCTTGGCCATGCTGCCCTGCACCCACCAGCACTTGTCCCCTTCCTTGCTATCTATGGCAGGAGCTGGTGTGTGGCATGATGCTTTTGTGTTCTCTTGTTGGAGGTTTTTATCTCTTCGTCTGCTCCAAGGGTGGTAGGTTTATGTCCTGCTGGCTGCAGGGAGAAGTTTCCCCAGAGAAATTTCCCAGTTAGAAGGGAAATCCCCTCTCAGAGCCACCTCTGTCCCTCACGGTGCCTGTCCCAAGAGGCCAGGAAAACTTTCCTATCCTTTTTTAACATTTAAATAACCCTGAGAATCAGTTAAGGAGATGAAAACTGAAGGCCATATCGGCCTTTCACAGCTTGTGTCAGTCAGGTGTTTCCTTATGCAAAGCAGCCGACTCTGCTAACAGTTGCAAAAATTTGCATTGCTCTGTCTCCTCTCTGGGTTGCAGCTGTGACAGTGCCCCAGACAGCTGTTACAGGGATTTAACCTTCCAATGGGGCTATGAGCTCAGGTTGTGCCTTACACTCAGGCTGCCCTGGCAGCTCTTCCCATCAGCAGGGGCCTCCAACCCCATCCATACCTAGACATATCTATGTCTAGATATATGTCTGTATCTAGAATGATATATCTAGATAGATCTAGACATATCCAGAGATGTGGCCTTAGAAAGGAGTGAAGGCTTAACTCCAGAAGAAAGTGGCTGGCCAGGCTCTCATCTGCCAGCTGGAAAATAGTAAATTGAAGGTCTGGGTTTTCTGTTTTGGGGAACAGAGAAGCTGTGCTAGGTCAACCTGAATGGGGACATTTTTGGATATTTCTTTGGACCAGAAAGTCAAAAAGAAACTTTGTATTCACTCAAGCACAACACGTGCTGTTCTTTAAACACAAGTGAGTTCAAAACAAAAATGGACATACTAACAGGGACATCCAAATTTTTGATTGATTTTCTTTTCCCTGGAGGGAACAATCTGGTAAAACTGAGCTCTATTTTTGAGGTGCTTTAAACTCACAGGCCTTCTCCAAAAATGCCTGGCCCTGACTGCTCAGTCCTGCTCTGGTGAATGCTGTGTTTGTGCACCTTGGGCTGTTTGTGGAGGTATGCCCTGGGGCAGTTTTGGCTGTGCATCCCAAAGCTGTTGTGGCTGTGCACCAGGAGGCAGTTATGTTTGTGTGCTTCAGGGTGACTGTGTTTCTGCACTCTGTGGTGGCTGTGACTGTGCATCCCAGGGTGGTTGTGACTGTGCACCATGAAGCAGTTGTGTTTCTGCACCACAGGGTGATTGGGGCCCAGTTGGCTGCTTTGCCAGGCAGCCACCCTCAGCCTGGACCCTGACTGCCTTGTTCTTGTCACCCTGCAGAGACATAGCACTGAGTGTTGCTGCCTTGTCCTTCAACCTGTGGTTCACGAAGCTCTACTGCAAGGACTTCAGACTGGTGAGTGCCCATCATGTGGCACAGAATGTGACACATGTGGCTCCAGTACTGGTGGAGCTGTGTCCCCTGCAGACGGCCTGACTTTCAAAAAGGCTTTCTTTATCTGCAGAACCTGGAGATTTCAGAGCAGCTCCTGTATATGCTCAGCAAATCAGTGACGCTGGAAGAGCTGGTGCTGGAAAACAGTGGGCTAAAATTGTAAGGAAATGTAATGCTTTTCTGAGGGTATTCTGTAACATTGATGCCTCCTGGGCAGCACTGGATAATTGCCTCTGGTCAGCCCAGGGAGCTTCCTCCAGCTATTTTGCTGATTATGTCCCCAAAGTGTTAAAACAGCAAAAGTGTTGGTTAAATTTGAATCTATAGGGTGAAATACTTGAGTGATGCCAACCTGCATCTAACATGACAAACTCCTGCCTTGAAAATCAGAGGCTGGAGGAGGGGGAATGCTCATCCCTCCCAGGTGCTGGAGCACTGTTTTTTCCTGGAGGCAGGGCTCACACCTTCATTAATGTGGCTGAGGGATCTAAGGATGTCAGAGCGGTTTACCGTTTAGGACT